GTCTCTGAGGGTCAGGAGCTCCTTGCAACGGGTGCACACATACGCCACCCGCCCACAGGGCAGGTAATCATACATGTTACACTCGACACAATAAACAGGATAGCCCGCACTCTGCTGCTGGGCTTCTGTCTCCATTTTTCTAATGAATAAGTTTAAGTATAAACTGGGATTCTTTTTAAACCTCTGGAGTATAGATTATTTTAAGAGTTATGTTTTAAAGAAGGTCAGAAGTCACTCGTGCCCTCTAAACTCCCACAACTCCCTCTCCAAACTCTCCTGTTAGCTGTTCCTGGTCGCGCTCTCCCTGGTCGCTGAGTCACAGGCTTATATAGCTCTGGTAGCCCCTCCCCCTGACTGAGGCTCAGCCAATTAACAGAGGCTTCTAGATTTCAAACCTTTTAGAAGCTCCTTTAAACAAACAAAGCAAACAAACAAACCAAACAGACAAACACAAGCTCAGCACACTGCAAATAACTCCCCCACACACAAACACACACTCCAGACAGCCACTTACCACAAGGGTCCCGTTTTTACTCCTCTTTTACCTGGTGAATTCCCTCTCCAAACTTTCCTGTTAGCTGTTCCTGGTCGCACTTTAGGAATTTGCCACTGGTTATTTGTCTGCCCTTCCCTGATGCATTGGATTCCTTTGTATGCGGTTGTTTGTCTGCTCTGGCCCATGGTTTGCCATGGACAAGAGCTGAAGTTATAAACAAGCAGCAGAAAAAAAAGAAACAAAAGAAGCCAAGCCCAGATTTTCAAGTGGGCTTTATACATAACCAAGAAGAAGTAGAAAGAAATCACAAACCCAGTTGTTGGTCATTTTTAAACTGTAGGTGGTTCTGCATCAACATGAGAGAATGTGGAGACTTTCCTTGTGAGGATCGCTTCACCATATCCAGTCTCGTTTATAAAAACTGAACAGAAAAGAATGAAGCTAAGTAAAAATTAGTCCATCTGTTTCGAAACAGAGCATGATGGCAAGATGCACCTTTGGATAGCAGAATGTAGCCTTTGTGTTCTGCCACTATCAGTGGCTTATATTACAACATCTTCCAGTCTGGTAAGCAGGGAAATTTGGGTCAAGAAAATACCTGACACATTCTATTAGCTTTAAACACACAGTACTCTGGATCTTCTAGCAACTGGCATCTATAGTATGAGCACTGACTGTAAAATGCCCAACCTTCGCTTTGTAATAAGGCAGTCTTCTCAGGAGCCCTATAATAAGATACAGAGTTTAAGCTAATGAACTGAACGGAACAGATAAAATAAATCCTGCTCTTAGGGTCTTTTGACAATGGGATTATTGTTACTCCTGAAAATGGGGCTTCAGCTGGGAAATAGGATTCTTGTTATTTACTGTCACACACCATTTGAAACTTCTTCTTTTTTTAAAAATCACTTTAATGCGAAGCCAGAGAAGGCAAGAAAAACTATGTGGGTAAATTATAGAGAGCCTATAGAACAGAGTCAATTGTCTCATTTTTATTATAGTGCTTAAAACTAAGTTTGGCAGAATTCAGTTTTTTATTTGTATCATTTTGATGGATAATATCAGTGTTTATTTTTAAGCATTTGTTTTGTTTTTATATATTTACACTTTCACAGCTGCATGAAATTATGGGAGTGTCAGACAATAGATACTTAATGACTAGCCATTGAGATTCAAAAAGCAAACACTTTATAATGGTTAAAAACACAAATTGATGACATCTCAAACCAAAATATACAAAGGAAATATCCTGAAATTAAACTCTAAGAAGTTCTCCTGCAACATTTGTCTCTTTGCCCATCTGAAATGTTTATTATCAGTGGTAGAAATGTTTTTCGTCAGTTTGTGTGCATACAATGAAATTTAGTACTGTACTTCCAAGCCTACTTAAAACTTGAATATTTCACTTTTTGCCGCTTATGTAGGCCAAGTTATATGCCCAGCTTGGCCCTTGCTGCCCCCTCTCCAGAATCAATAGGTTTCTCCAGTGTTCCCTCTAATTTTTTCCACCCCTGAGCAGAATGATTTTTGGGCAACATTATGTGCACCCTGATGTGGAGGTGATGTACGACATGTCACCTTCATATTGCTGCACATAACAAAATTCATGTGGTGGGAGTGGGACCCAAGGTGTTATGAGTGTGGGAGAGAGCTTTGGCCTGGGATGCAGGAGTGTGAGGGTTCTGGCTGAAGGTGCAGGCTGTAGGGTGGACCTGGGTTTGAGGGACTCAGGGCTAGGAATAGGGTTGGAGTGTAAGGGCTCTGGCTGGGGGTGCAGGCCCTGGGTTGGGACTAGGCATGAGAGGTTTGAGGTTTGTAGGAGGAGTTCTCCAGGTTTGGGAAGGGGCTCAGGGCTGGGCGCTGGTGTGCAGGAGGGAGTACACTGGACTTTGGTGCAGGGCCACGGATGAGAGCTTTGGGAAGAAGGAGGGTGCTCAGGGCAGGCAGAGCTTTCAAGGGAGGGCAGGGTATAGGTGCTTGGGCTTACCTCAGTGGCCTCCTGATGGAGCTGGCGAGGAGGGACCCCTTTCCCCCAGCCGTGGCATCTCTGTGCTGAGGCCAGCGGGAAGGGGCAAGTCCCTGGTAGCTTCAGGGCTTGGGGAGAGACAAGCCCCACTGCAGCTCTGAGCCCATGTGTGGGACTTAATGGACCCTCTGTGGGGCTTAATGGGAACTGCACGACCACACAGCTTATGACCAGTGTGGGAGAGCAAGGGGGCTAGCCTGATAGAGGGGCAGGGATGAAAGGGTCTAGGCAAGACCTCACTCTGGTGTCTAGACTGACTGTTACCTTGCCACAGGCTTCAGTATCACTGCTTTATCCCTGGGTGCTGAGTGACCAAGTGGTGATTTTAGTGGAAATCAGACTTTTCTGATTTTCACCAACAGCAATAGAGCCCTGGCCAGAGTGAGAGTGACTGATATGTGGGGGGCAAGGGCCTGGCTGAGGGGTTAGAGCCAGAATTGAGCTAGTCCACTTTTGGCCAAGAATTAAAATTGCTTTTCATGTAACGTGACAATTCTGAACATAGACCTGATTCTGTATGCAGGCTGGCTATCAAATCACTCAGCAGAGACTTCCTGTGGCTGTGAATGGGAGTCTTTCATACAGCTTCTGTGTAGGGGGGAAAAAGAACCAGATGGTAACCAGGACTGTGAGGATCAAACAAATCCAGTTGGAACAAGACAGTGGAAAGAGTCTTCACGATGACACAAGGAGCCAGACTCTCATTGACTTGAACAGGGCTGGTAGGTTTGGATCACTTTCTTACCCCCTTTGCTCTTTCTCTGCATGGGCTGAATGTTTAAAACTAATCCTGGGGAAAGGGAATGGAGTCTGGTTTGTTGCTTTCAATAAACATTTTAAAACTACTGTTAAGTGTAACAAAAATCCATATCTGGCCTAATGTTCATCTTTTCTGGTCCATTTGCTGATGGCACTGACCAGTCAGAAGGCTAGTGGCTCAGTTTCTCAAATCTGGCTGTCAGCCAACTTCCAAATAAGACCTTTTAACATGTCAAGGGGTATTCACTGGGACAAAGGAGCCACTTATACTCCCGCAGCTGTAAGTGTTGTTTAAAAGGAAAGTTCGTGCAGAAGGCAGAGTGGGATGTCAGTGCTTGAGTAAGAAATAGATGGCCACTTGCCTCATAAAACTCTAAAACTTCTATTTGTACAAATCAAACGTTGACCAACAACTTCATATATTTTAATGGGTAGTTAGATACATAAATTCAGTGATGGTCAGCCTCCTCAGCTCCCTGTGAAGTTGAGGGCTGCAGGTACTCATCACTGCTGAAAAGTGAAACATTTAGTTACATATCTCACTGTGCTTACCTGTAGGCCCCATGCTTACATGTTATTCTGGAAAGTTCTCAGAAAACTGTGGTTACATTAATTTCCCTGAAGGTAGTGAGAAAATGAAATTGGAAAATCAGGTGGCCTGTTTATAAGAGCTTTCTCAGAGGAAAGGGGAATAACGTTTCCATCTGTTCCCTGTGTTATCACAAGGGGGGGGGTGTCAATGTGTTTAAGTTAAAAATATTGGGGAAAACAGAAATAATCTATATGACAATTCTGCACATAGTCCCATTTTGACAGTTATTAAACATAGTTTTTCTTAAACAAACCCTAGTTCTCTCATGTGTTTAGCTTGTTGCACTTTAATATGTCAAGATCACAAGCTTGATTACTGCTGGAAATCTCATGTTTCTCTCTCTCTCTCAGGTGTTGGCCTGATGGAGGTTGTCATGGAGCCTGATATGAGCTCTGGGGAAGAGGCAGCTGCAGCAGTCAGAGAGCTTCAGCTTATTCTTCAAACACTTGGGAGCAGCCAGGCAATCATGGCAGGTAAAGCAGGGGGTAGGGTATGTTCCCTCCAGTTAGTTGTAATTTTCTGCATTTGCAGGGATAGTTTCACAGCTTCTGGTTATTTTGCTCCGTAGTTGCCTACCATTTAGCATTTTCTTAATGCTGTTTCCTTCTTTTAAAATATTTGGCACCTGTATAAGGTCATCTGTGTTTTAAGTGTCTTTATGAATCCTCCACCTTCTGCAGATTTTTATACTGCCTTCTACATCAATTTTACATTATAGACCAGGGCAGGATGAAGTAGCCAAGTGTTTTTGTTATTTCTCCTTTATTGCCCCCTCAGCTCACCCTGTATGTACTTAATTGGGGATGGGAAATGTTGCAGCAGTGATGAATAGTTGAGAGTGAAGGCTCTCCCAGCATAGTTGATTATGTAAGTTACATTTTGGATGTAAATTGATCACAAACCAAATGTTCAGCTGTGAACCCGTGTAACTCAGGGTGTGTCTAGACTACAGGGTTTTGTCGACAGAAGTGGACTTTTGTCGACAAAACTATACCTGCGTCTACACTACTGCCGAGTTCTGTTGACATAACGTCAACAGAACTTGGCAGTTTTGTCAACGGTGGAAAACCTCATTCTACGAGGACTAACACCTTTTGTCGACAGAACTCTGGCGTTATTGCATCTACACTGTCCTTTGCATCTACACTCCCATGTCAACAAAGTGGCTTTCTTTGTCAACAGAAGCTTTGTCGACAGTGTCTGTTGACAAAGCCTCTGTCGACAAAAGCCTGTAGTCTAGATGTACCCTCAGTGATTTAACATGAAATTCAGCCCCTGAGATAAGCAAATGCAACTCCCAGTAAGTTACATCAGAGTTTCGCCCGCTCAGCCCAAAGTGGAACATGACTCTGGGAATGTCAGGGAATGGCTCTGGCTTAATTTAAAATAGTGCATAATTTGTAGTAGTAGTTCTTGGACATTAAGCTCTTTGGGGCAGGTATCTTCCTGTGTTTAGACAGAGGGACATTGATCGTTATTCAGGCTTCTCAGCATGAGGGATGTTACATTTCAATTAATCAGCTAATCAGTCTGTAAGGGGTTGGGTGGGGTTCTCGCTATCCCAGCTGTGCCTCTGTCTTTTAAATGTAGTAAGAGCCTCTGGCTCTTACTACATTTAAAAGGCAAAGGCGCAGCTGGGAACTTCGGGCGAGTGCGGACTATTTGAATCCCACGGGGCTCTAGCTACATTTAAAAGTCAGAGGAGATGCAGTGGGGAACCTGGAGCAAGCGGGGACTCAAGCAGTCCCCCCTCACCTGGGGATCCCTGCTACACTGCTTCTGACTTTGAAATGTAGAAAGAGCCCTGTGGGGCTCCTGCTATATTCCAAAGGCAGAGGTGCTGCAGTCAGACAGGCGTAAGCATTGACTGCTTCAGTCCTCACCACGCCATTTACCACTGTGCCTCTGTCTCCCCAGCAACCCTCTCCCCCATGGAGATGGTGCTGAGGGATATGGCTTTTAAGCCAGCTCCTGCAGGCACTGGCTCCTCCTCCTCTTCCCTCTCCCCCCCTCTCCCCCCCTGTCTCTGATACAGAGGCAGCAGGGTTGTGGGGAGCGACTAGTCAGGTAATGAGTCAACTACCCAATAAGTCTATGCTTATCGGGTAATCAACTAGTTGCTTACATACCTAATGTAGGTATGTAACATATAGAAGAATAGTGAAGTCCTGCTTTATCTTGTGCCCTCCAGCTAGCTGCTTTTTCTGAGGTAATGTCCACTTCCTCAAGATCCACTGACACTAGTTTTAGACCATTGTAACACCAGGGCTGTGTCTAGACTGCATTCCTTTTCCATAAAAGGGATGCAAATTAGACACATTGCAATTGCAAATTAAGCGGGGATTTAAATCCCCCCCACTTCATTTGTATAAATATGGCTGCCGCTTTTTTCTGGCTCGGAGCTTTGCCAGAAAAAAGCGTCAGTCTAGACGGGGATCTTTCGGAAAATAAAGCCTTTTCCAAAAGATCCCTTATTCCTTTTTTAAAGAGGAATAAGGGATCTTTCAGAAAAGGCTTTATTTTCCAAAAGATCCCCGTCTAGACTGGCGCTTTTTTCCGGCAAAGCTCTGAGCCATAAAAAAGCGGCAGCCATGTTTATGCAAATGAAGCGGGGTGATTTAAATCCCCGCTTCATTTGCAATTGCGATGTGTCTAATTTGCATCCCTTTTATGGAAAAGGGATGCAGTCTAGACACAGCCCAGTAGATTTACACCAGAGATAGAGGAGACTCAGGCATACAGGGGTGTCCCTCATTTTGCACACCACCTGAATGCCATATCAGCCCAAGCTGCTACTTATGTAGATGTTATGCTAGACGGGCACTTACCCCATTGTCTTTCATGAATTTAGCCCTGAGTCCAAATTGGTATCACACTAAGGTATCCCACACTACCTTTAAAAAAAGACCCATCATTCTGGCAATATTTTTTCATTGCCATTATGTAGCTTTTAAACAAAACCCTTTTATTCAGGTGTGCTGAGAGAGATGTTTTTACTATGCTTTTTCTCTTACCAGTGTTGTTTGTTTTTAGGTGAGGGTTTGCTTTCTCTCATTTTATATTTCTATTAGTCGCTTCACTTGCAACAAACTGTTTAAGAGCATGGCTTCTCTGCAAGGTGATCAAATAGGAGATGAAGCTGGGCTTTGAGGGAGACAGCCTTTTTTTAAAACACACAAGCCACAGTTCTTTTTTGACTTTGTCTGGTTAATCCCCATCTCTTCCAATTTCAGTGAAAGAGTAGAGTCAAACGCAGTTCTTAGATAGCAGCAAAGTTATGCTAGAATAAAATTGTAGACATACATTTCTTTTGGTAAAGTGTTCTCTTCTCCTCGCACCAAGTATGATCCAATGTGAAAAGTCTCCTCTAAAATGAATATTGGGGTCGCTTCTATACCTTGCTCTTTCGTTTGCCTAGTCATCAAGTCTCAATGCATACAGAGAAGATTAACAAGATAACATCCATTGAGCTTTTACACACTGGACAAGGTCCACTTTTGCAATTTTAAATCTGCTGTCCTGAATGAGCTCTAAGGCTCTACACCTCTCTACAGATTTAATACTGGGCTATTGACATAGTCTTCAGAGGTACTTTTGTGTAAATATCAAATATTTACTTTATCGCATACTCATTTTAAGTTTAGATAAGGAGGAAGACTAGAGTACGAGATTCTTCTGTAAAATATTTCAAGCGGAGCTGGCAACAGACTTGGCAGGCCCTTGACAATGTGTGTATGGGGGAGGTTTGGCTCTGAGGCCCCTACCCCTGGAAAGGGGAGGCCTCAGGTGCAAGGTGGAGCTAGGTGCAGCCAGCCCTCAGCACTACCCAGACCATGCCACACCTCCACATTGTACAGAGCTTCAGCAGCAATTTAAAGGACCCGGGGCTCTGGCCACTGTTGCTGTTGCAGCAGCAGTGGCCTGGAACCTAGGGCCCTTTTAAGACTCCGGATCCCAGGGCAACTGCTCCCTTTGTCCTTTCCACCATTGGCAGCCCTGATTGCAAGAGCGATTTGAGTGTACAGTATGTGAGAAATGTATTTTTTGCCTTTGTTTTTCTTTCCTTTCTGTCTAATTTGCCTACCGGTCTCAACAAATTCTCTGCTTGGATGGATGTTTTGGAGGAACCTAGTAAAACAGAATTACCAATGAAATGGTCTGACAGGATCTCCTGGGGCTTCCAGTCCAACCCTGCCTTAGTGCAGGTTTGCCCTCTATGTAACATTCAGTTTGGCAGTATATGTTATGCTTGATTAGTCAGGGAGGATTCAAAATCTTGTTTGTTGAGAGAGAAGATTACAGTTCCTTGAGGGAGGGGAAAAAAACCCAAGTTGTTGACATTTGCCCTTGAGCTTTAAATTCCCAAGGATGCTTCAATAAATCTACCCCGCATCACTGTTAGTCTTGTGCTTCATGGTGGAGCAGCATACAGCCATCAAAAAGTAATTTCAGAAAGTGTTTTCACATGCTTTTGTCTGAACAGGAAAATAAAAGAACTGGAATCTTGCAGCCTGCTTTTTTTAAATTGCTTTTCTTTAAGGTGATTCATCCTAGTCTTCCCTCTCTTTACTGGACCTAACCTTTTTTTTTTTTTTAGCGTGTGTTTTTAAGGAGTATAGTTTTAAACCCGTGCAGTTACACCATAGAGCTGTCGATGAAAGGAATCGTGTCATTCCATTCCAAAAGGTAGCACTAGCAGAAAATTCAGTGACTGAAGATGGAGCTTTCAAATGGAACTATAAACAGGAAGCTGTTATGAGGCAGCTGATCTCTTCCTGACCTCAGATCTTTTACAGAAGTCCAGTATAAACATCCTGTACATAACATGCAGCTTATTAATGTATGCCAAGGTCATCTACTCTAGTGATGATGTTTCCTTTTATAGAGGGTCAACTGAGAGTGGATGCCAATGTATCTGTGCATCACCCTGGAGAAGCTTATGGAGTAAGGACCGAAGTGAAGAATATCAATAGTATACGATTTCTGGCAAGAGCAATAGGTCAGTATTACTTGTGCCTTTATTGAAATGTTGTACATCCTCATTCTTGCTGGCAGAACCAAGTATCACAAAATGGTAATAGGTTTCGGTACAGGACAGTGTAGGTATGTTGGCCTCATTGACTAGCAGTTTTATTGTGAAAGTCGCCCTCTTTCTCCAAGGAGAGTAAAGGATTAGATAATTCAGTATTTAGCATGTCCTTCTTTGATAGATGCTAGCAGTACAGCAACTCTGTGTCCTTAGATGAAATAGATTGCTTTCTCCGGGCATGGTGCCTGGTGTTTGTGAAGCACAGAGGGCATGAGCAGCAGTGTGGGTATGGGTAGGAAAGAAGAAAAAGCGCATCCATTCAAGAAAAAATGCAGGGATGGAGAGCCTTCATTCAACCCCTGATGTGATGATGAGAAAACTGCTTTGGCTGTACAATTTAGCTGAAATCTTGAATGTCTGGAACCGACTGCGGTGTGTGTGAGAGAGGCCTAGCCCCCACACTTCCTCATAGGAACCAAATGTACACACAACAGTGCCAGAGAGAGGTCAATTTTGCCAGTAATTCCATCCCTAATACATTGCTTTTAGCTTCAGTAAGATTAACATAATCTTTTCAGCTATGCCTGGCAGTGAAGAATGTAATGCATTGCAATAATGGAAGATATAAAAGTGACTCAGCTGAATTTATTTGCTTTTTGTCAGACTATGAAATACAGAGGCAAATCAAAGAACTTGGAAATGGAGGAACTATTATGAATGAAACCAGAGCCTTTGATGACAAACTTGGGTAAGGTCAGATTTTGGAGAGGCTTTTGAAATATCAGCTTTGGCGTTCTAATGCTTCCTAGTAAGATTGCCACTGGAGTTAAAATGTCCTCTCTCCATTTCTGTTTGTTTCCATTGCCATTCATGAGCATGGTCCCCATCGCAGGCATTAATTGTATTACAGTAATACCTAAAAGCCTCATCTGATGCTCGTTGTACTAGAGCCCAGTCCCTTCTCTGACAAGTTGATGATTTAAATAGATAAGACAGGCTAAGAGTGGGAAGAGAAACAGGCACAGAGAAGTGAAGTGACATAGCAGTTCAATGGCAAAGCTGGGACTAGAACTCTGGTTTCATGACTACCAGGGCTATACCCTATACACAAGGTCGTTTCTTTTCTACCCAGGGATGTAAACTGCTCGCTTGAATGTTGCAAACTATTAAAATGATTTAAAAATCCAGGATCCAGGAAAACTCATTCCAAGTCAGACAAAACTTCCACTGGAGTGCAGTGGGATTTTTAGCTTGTGAAACAATGTAAGATTGGACTGTATGTGTGTTTGCTGCTTTAGCATAAGGACCACCAGAGGTATCTTCTACTCTCAACTTTTTGCGGTTTTGTGTTTAGTAATATGTAGCACTGAAGTCCAATATTGTAATATTGGGAGAAAATTATAAACTCTGCATTGGTCCACAGAGTGGGTGGAGTTGAATGCACGTTTGCTTTGAACAAGCTTAATGAAGCTTTCTTTATTTCCATGGTGTAATGCTATTTGCCACAAAACTAGTTATGCAAAGGTACCAGTAATGCTCTGGAAAAAGAGTAAACCCCATTATATTTAGTATTTTATGCGTGTTGTCTTATTTTAGGTGCACCATCTCAATGAGAGATAAAGAAGGAAAACAGGATTACCGGTAATGACAATTATTTATTTTTAAACTAGAAGATTTACCTGACATTGCTTGGGTCCATAACTCATATAAGTTTTGGTTTTCTTCATTTTAATCATTGGTTTGGGATGGGGCTAGGGATGAGGTGTTCACTATGCTGGCTGCCCTGGGGAGAGAGCCCTCCCTCAGGGCAGCAGCTTGGGGCCAGCTGAGAAGTGCCTGTCCATGGCTGCTGCAGCGGACACAGCTGGGGAAGGGGTGCATGTTGTCCGCTGGAGGACAGACAGATTCTCAGACAAACAGGCGAACAAGCAGAGAAACTCTCTCAAATATATAATAGATAACTATCCCTTTTGCCACCTGTGCCTCCTGCTTCCCTAAAGAGGTTATAGCTGTCCTAGTTCCCATCTCTGGCCTGTTGCTTCCCCCCTGTGGGCATTAGACAGTAGAATGGTGCCTGCTAGCAGATCCCTCCCTTTCTGTTTTATGAGAAACAATCGCAATTCGGGTACATCCCAGTGTCCTGGCACAACCAAACCCTGACCTTGCTTCAAGTTATGATAAGAAGAAGCTGCATGCCAAATTTGGTGGTCCTAGCTCTTACAGGTTAGGAAGAGTTCTTGAATAAACAGTCTCACGCATGGATGGACAGACACACAAACTTTCAAATACAGAGTTGATGTAACTGTTTAAGTCAATGGATGTTTTACTATCAAATTCAGTGAGAAAGCAAGGCTAAGCCAAGGGAGGACACTTCTTAAAATTCTGCCCTAGCTTTCCAAGTTTACAGAGTAGTATTTGTGGAAATAGAGCAGTAACCATTATTTAGACAGAATGGAGTTTCAGTTTTTGATAGCTAGTGTGCTTGGTCAGCTGGTAGTTTATATGATAGCCTGGTTGGCCTTTGTTTCTGAGTGCATGGGTATTAGATTAAAGAAGAGTCTGTTTTATGAATTAATTCCCTTACATGTTAGTGTCAGGCCAGGCGTGTAGGAAGAGAGTCCAAGCCATTTCAGCTAAAGACAGACAAAACTTATGATATGATATTTTTTATATTTCATTGTTTATGTATTTTGTGAACATATTTGTGTACACTAAGTGCGGAATTTAAACCCAATTTATTAAACAGGATTTCTTTTTAAATGCAATAGGCTCAAAGGGTGCATATCAAAGGTTTGCAAAGGCAAAAACAATTTTTTAAAAAATATTTTGAGATGTATCAGTACATCATTCGCTCATGTCAGGATAAGGTTGCTACTTGAATCTCAGTGGTTTTCTGATGGTTTGAATTAGCATTCTCTTTGAGATCCTTTGTTCTTTGATGTTGTCACTCAGTTTTATTTACTATGACATCCTGCTGAGCATGATAATTGTGCTTTTAACACAGTGTGGGGTTTCATCAGGACACCTCAGGTTAATATGAGAGAGGTTGTAACCTGCACAGAGAATTCCTGGCAGCTTACTGTCAATATACTTCTCTCCTTTCCCACCCACACTGCCTTGATGGTCAGAATCAAAATTCATTCTCACTGATGAGGGATGGGTTCTACCCCTCACTTAAAATTTCGAATGTCAAATTTTGTCAATTAATTTTTTTCTTTTGCTGGTTGTTTGGCAAACAGTAGAAGATAATCAGAGAAAACAGTGGCTATGTAAAAGCACAGGGACAGATTTT